TATATATATATATATATATATATATATATATATATATATATAAACTTGAATTTTTGTGGGGTGGGCCAAGACCCACTTTTGTCTCCATGTGGCTACGTCACTGAAAACCCCTACAATACCTAATTTCAGACTAAAACAACCAATCCGAGACACATTACAAAGTACTTACAAGAGATCCATACATGTAGAACGAGAAAAAAATATAAAAAAAATGATAATCCGGATGTTCAAGAGTTGTTCCGGAGTTGTTCCTCGTATTCCGGACAATTCCCGAACATTCCGGAATACGTAAATCATTTCAGAAAATCAAATGCAAAGTAATTTAAAGTGTAGAAGTTACTTGGTTTGATGAATCTATGCTGAAAATTTGGTTCGAAATACGGATAGATCGTGCTTCGGATCGGCTAATTTCGGATTTTTTATGTGTGAGATCCATATATACACCATTGGGTTATAGTATTGGGCTTGGACCGGTTTTCGGGTCTGAAACGATTCATTCCGAACCAAATGGTTAGTTTTCAAAAAAACAAAATTTGGTTATATTTTTGAAAAAACCCAAAAAAAAATAATAATTAGATTACTCGATTTATATATTAATGATCTCGCTAAAAAATAAGTAACGGATCAATGAAGAATGTTAATATATATTAGATTCGATGATAAAAATATATTTTAAAAGATATCACAATATTATATGTATTTTGCAAACATAAAAATTTAGAAAGTATCGAAATCTTTAACCGAAAAAGGCCCTTCACATGGAGCATCTTATAGTAGTGTCACATATGTGACCCTTCTCTCTCTCCCACAGAATCCCTGTACGCACCGTTTCTGTGTTTCAGGTTCTACTCTTCTACTTTCTCTCTCTCACACCCCGATCTCTAATTCAATTCACAAAACAAACCCAACTCGAAATCTACTAATTCAATCACATATGGGTCCTTACGATTCTTCCATTTCGGCTGCCGCCGGAAGCAGCTCCTCGTCTTCCTCCGCGTGTTCAAGCTCCACCAAGCCGCCGCAACCGCCTGATCAGATGGACCACCTTCTTGCCGGCGCCGGCTACAAGGTACGTTCAAATGACCTCCACCATGTCGCTGAGCGTCTCGAACACCTCGAAACCGTCATGGTGAAATCCTCACCGGTGGAGATCTCAGAGCTTGTACACGACGCCGTTCATTACAACCCAAGTGACCTCGCTTCGTGGGTTGACTCATTACTCACTGAATTGAACACCAACCCGCCAGCACCCATAGCTGCACCCACTGATTTTTCCGATCTACATCAGTTACCGGCGAATATCAACATGTACAGTAATAATCCTTCTCCGTTAAACGGTGAATTTTCCCAACAAGTCGTGACGCCGTTAGAAGAAGACGTTAGTATCCGGTTAGTACACGTGTTGATGACGTGTGCGGAGGCTGTCCAACGTGGTGACCTCGCATTGGCCAGCTTGTTGATCGAAGATCTACAGGTTTTACTCGGACGTGTAAACAGCGGATGTGGCATCGGAAAAGTCGGAAGTTTCTTCATCGACGCCCTCAGCCGGCGCATCGTTGACTCCCCCCAAAACGGCATCGTTCAGGAGGACTTATCAGCTTACGAGAATGAGATGTTATATCACCATTATTACGAAGCTTGTCCTTATTTAAAGTTCGCTCATTTTACCGCTAATCAAGCCATCTTAGAAGCATTTGAAGGTCAAGATTGTGTCCACGTCATCGACTTCAACTTAATGCAAGGTTTACAATGGCCGGCTTTGATACAAGCTTTAGCTCTTCGGCCCGGTGGACCGCCACTACTCCGCCTCACCGGGATCGGTCCACCTTCCCCTGACGGACGTGACTCGTTAAGGGAGATCGGACTCAAGTTAGCAGAACTAGCCCGATCAGTTAACGTCCGTTTCGCCTTTCGAGGTGTAGCAGCTTCACGTCTGGAGGACGTGAAGCCGTGGATGCTGCAAGTCAGCCTGAAAGAGGCTGTGGCAGTAAATTCGATAATGCAGTTGCATAAACTGCTAGGACCAAGTCAATCAATTGACTTGGTTCTTGATTGGATTCATGATCTGAATCCAAGAATTTTGATGGTTGTGGAACAAGAGTCGAACCACAATCAACCAGAATTCTTGGACCGATTCACTGAAGCCTTGTACTATTATTCCACAATGTTTGACTCGTTAGACGCATGCACGGCTCATCGGGAAAAATCCCTAGCCGAACTGTATATCCAAAGGGAAATATGTAATGTGGTTTGTTGCGAAGGGTTGGCTCGTGTGGAACGACATGAGCCATTGGTTACATGGCGGAATCGATTGACAAATGCTGGATTTGCACCATTACATCTAGGATCAAACGCGTTCAAGCAAGCCCGGATGCTATTGACTCTGTTTTCGGCGGATGGGTATTCTGTAGAAGAAAATGAAGGGTGTTTGACCTTAGGATGGCATAGTCGGCCCCTTATTGCAGCCTCGGCTTGGCAAGCAGTTCCAAAGCCGAGTGCGACAATGGTGCAGATAAACCATCCTTAATGATGTGATAATATGTTACATATGTGAAGTTAAAATTAGTCAGGCAATTTAAAATCTTCATCTTTTTATTTGTGGCCATCTTCGTTTAACTTGAAGAGCATTTATATTTACCAAATATGATATAGTGATAAAAGAATAATGAAACGCATTTAAAAAAAATATATGTGGGTCGATATTGTAAAATCTGATTACACAAACGTTTTCGGGACTTGCAAAGTTTCATCCGAACGCCTATGTCAATGTCAAGAAAAGATTAAACACGTATAGTAAAATTAAAAGCTATTATTGCATTCCTTCAAAATTCTTAAAAGCTATTAATGCATTCCATCAAAATTCTTACCATCTTTGCTTGAAGCATGCTTCAATCCAATCTAAGACATCTTCAACTCATCTTCATGTTGTACCTACGTGTTTAATAGGAAATAATAAGATAAAATATAAAAACTAGATACAACATATAAGAAATATGCACAAATAAATATAAAACAAACCTATATATATATATATAT